CCCCCCCGCCTCTCTCTAAGCATGTGGGGATTAAAAATAAAAAAATAAAAAAATAAAATGCACTCTCCCTCTGTCCAGCTTAGAGACAGGAACAAGAATCTATCATTGTGATCTCAGAGGTGGGGAATCGTGTGAATGTGAGGAAGGCACATAGGGAAGGAAAGGCATGGGACGCATGGAGAGATCTGAAGGTGGCAGTGACATGCAGGATGCCCTCCCTTCAGCCAGGAACTGCGCCCAGGGCTAGGGAAATAGTGACAAACAAGGTGCCGGTGGCTCCGGCCACGAGCGAGCGTGCTCTGGCCTTCTTCAATGGGCGGGAGTGGGGATGTGACTGAGAGGCCATGGCAGTGATCCCCCACCCCCCACCTCCTCTCTCTTTAGTATCATGCGGTCTAAAGGGAAGAAAAAATTAGGTGGAAGCTCTATTTGATTTTAAAATCGAAGCAAGCTGAGCCAGAAATATTTACTGAATGGTGTCAGGGTCCTCTCTGATTTTCCAACTATGTTCCTGTGCTCAGGGCAAATTGGATGGGGTTGGCAGAGAAAACCACAGAACCAGCCGAACGCACAGGACACCCTTGTTCGGCCCAGCCCCTCTCCTCCCTGCGTTAACTCGGCTTGAGGGGCCCTGTGGCACCAGCGGCCTGAGCATCCTTCCCCAGCTAATGGAAAAAGAGGCGCAGTCATCTTTCCAAAACCTGTCATTGCTATGGAAACCATGTCACCATTGCTGATGGCCGCAGTGTCCTCCTACCGCATCCGAAGGAAACGCTGCTACTTCTAATCAGCGTGTCATCGGCAATGGGGGTTTTTCAAGAAGCCTGCCTTGATTCGCCCACGCCCTCCCTGGAGCAGCAGTGCCCTGAGCCCAGAGGGAGCTGGGGGAGAGGGGAGGAGCAGCTGCAGCCACCGAGGCAGGGGAGGCAGGACGGGTGATGTGAGGCCCTAGCCATACAAGAGAGTTTCCCAGGTGAAGAGAGGCTCCGGGATCTCCCAAGGCCCCCTAATTCCATTTCAGGGACCTCTTCCCATTCCCCCCTCCCTTAAGGTGCTGCAGCATTTGCTGCCACGGCCACACCCTTCTTCCTGCCAACTCCTTCCTCTCGGGCAGTTGTGACTCAGCTCAGCAGTCATCTCTCTGCCCTAAAGTTCCAGAGGATCTGCCTCCCAAAGTTAGGCCTGGGGCTAAGAGAGTGTGGCTGGAGGGCAAACCCACCCACCCCGGGGAGGCACTTTGGAAGAGCCTCTCTTTGGCCCATGTGTCCTCAGACTTTTAATGTCTCCAGCTCTGAGAAGATCGTGTTTTCTCTCTGACACATACGCCCCATTCTATGCGTCCTGAAATGAAATCGTTCCAGACTTGCGATTGTAAAAGCTGCCTGTTCAGCAAAGCGAGACTTTCTCTCTCCTTCCTCTTTTGTCCCGTTCTGGGCCCCTGCTTTGCCCGGGGACCACCCACATGCGGCCTGGCTGTCGGGAAGCACGAGCTTCCAGACCAGCCACCCCGAGACAGCGGCGACCCTCCCTGCGTGGAACCCCAGCTGCTCTTGTAAACTTGTCTGTCACCTCGGCAGCAAGTGGTTTCGGAGCAAAGTCCAAGTTCACTTAGAAACACCTAAGTGATCACGGGACCTCGGATAAGGCGTGACACAGACCGGCAAACCCCAGACCGGCCCACAGGGCTGCGCGGGGGCGAGGGGAGCCCAAGTTTGCCGATTTCCCCGAGCGTGCTGCTCTTTTCGGTTTATTACTAAGTACGCCTCCCCCTCGTCTCTATAGGATCCTCTAATTTATTAAGCCGGCTGGGTCACCCTGTAAACTGCTTGGCGCTGGGCACTTTCACAGGCCGATTTTGCCACTGCCCTCTCCACCCCGGACTCCACACAACAGAACTTAACAAATAGCTGCCACAGTGTGTGCGGCACACATGTGGACCCAGAGCCAACACCCACAGACACTCATTGCTATAGACTGAATGTTTGTGTCCCCCCGATTCATTGTTAAATCCTAATGCCCAGTGTGATGGTGTTAGGAGGCGGGGCCTTTGGGGAGGGGTGACTAAATCATGAGAGCAGAGCCCTCACCAGCTAGATTAGTGTCCTTATAGGACACCCCAGAGGGCTCTCTGGCCCCTTCCGTCACTTGGGGACACAGAGAGCGGTTGACTCTCTATGAACCAGGAAACCTTAGCCAAGCACCGAAACTGCCGGCACCCCACTCTCAGTCTTCCAGCCTCCAGAACTGTGAGAAATACATTTCTGTTGCTTACAAGCAGCCCGTCTGTGGTCCGTTGTCACAGCAGCCCGCATGTCACAGAAACACTCACACCATAGACCTACGCGGACTCAGAGCACCTTATTTTTTCCTGACCCAAGGGAATAATTATCTGAACATCTATTTGCCATCTGCCCCCCTTAACTCCACATTTCAGAGAGAGGACAGAGCCTGCGTGGCCCCCTGCCAGGCCCACACTGCCTGGGACGTTCTCAGTGTTTGTGGAAGGAATAAATGATGCACAGACAGGCAGAGACGTGACCAGCTCTCCTGTGTGCTGCCACGGCGTCCAGAACGCCCTCTCATCTACATTACTCAGTCCATCCTGGCCAGGCTGTCAACCAGACGGGCTGCCGTGGGGCACAGAGGCTCCGAAGGGGTAAGAGACTTGCCCAAGGTCCCACAGCCAGGAATTGGAGGGAGTTGGGGCTTAGAT